CTGAAAAATAAGGAATGTTTCACTTTCTCTGGGTCCTCTCCGTAGCAGTAAAGCCTCAGATGAAAGCGCTCAGGCCATTCTTCCCAGCATCTTCAGGATGGTTTATTAAGATAGATGGTTGGGGGAACCAGCAGTTAACGTAATGGCTATGTCCCTGGACTCCCACGTAGTCGACCGCGGTTCGCGTCCGGGACTGGTGGCTTAAAACTCACGCCGGGCGCGTGTGCGTGCGTGCCCAAGATCCTGAGAGGAGAATGGAGGAGAAGGGATTGCGGTGTGACCATCCCCCCTGGGGGGTGATTTCTCGCTTTCTGTCTCTATGTCTCTCTCTGTCTGTCTGGCGAGCGCACGCGCCCTATAGCGAAAAAAACCTCTCAAAAAAAAAAAAAAAAAGATAGATGGTTGGGTCAGGGCCCCAGTGGGGCAATGAAGAAGGGAGTGTCCCTGAATTAATGGTAGTAAGAGCTGGGTGGTAGTCACACTCCTAGAAGCAAAGTATTCTGGTTGTACCTCTAGAACAGAGGTGTTTCCCCTAAGACTCCAGCTTTATTCCAGTAGGGGGAAAAAAATTCAGGGCTGTCGTGGTGGCAGCAACACTATTTTGTTTTGGTGACAGGAAACCCTGTGATTTTTCTCACTAACTTCCCTGAAGATGGCACCTTTCAATTGCAAATACTTGGATTATTTCTACCCTCCTCCATGAGATGTAGGTTTGCTAAGAGGTTCAGTGCTTTTTCTTTGTTCTTTACTTCCTCTCTACCCCCAAGTTCTTATCAAATGTCAGCAGCTGGGACCACCTGTCTCTGGGACAGAGAAGAAATGATGTGGGAGTTAGGGGTAGGGTTGAGCATATGTATCAGTGTAGGAACAGGAGTAGAAGTCATGCTCTTGTTACTACACGGATGGTGGTAGGAAACAATTTCTTATCCACCATGGGTGGTGGTGAGGCTGTTTGTTTTACTTTATGTGTGTGTGTGTGTGTGTGTGTGTGTGTAGCGAAAGGATTTACTGGGAACTAGCAATAGGTATGCTAAAGGGCCACATAGAGGCTGTTCGAGGAAAGCCATACGATAATAACGAGCAATCCATGATAGCTGATATTGTGTTTAAAAATACACATCTGAAGGACAGTTCGACTATATTCACCCAATGTCTTGCATGGGGAGAGAGCTTGTGCATCTGTACACGGGCTGTCAAGTTGTCTGTGTCTAAGTATTTGTTTTTTCCCATTTAGCTTTTAAAAATCCTTGGCGTTAGAGGGAATATTTGCATTGCATAAAACCTATCACTTCAGGGAGTAGTTAGTGGCACATGCAAATAAAATGACAAGTTCACATCCTCATAGTGTCTGGGTGGCTGTTAATACTGACTTTTGAGAGAACCAGCAGTTAGCATAATGGCTTTGTCGCTGGACTCTCACGTAGTCGACCGCGATTCGCGTCCCGGACCCAGTGGCTTAAAACTCACGCCGGGCACGTGTGCGTGTGTGCCCAAGATCCCGAGAGGAGAATGGAGGAGAAGGGATTGCGGCATGATCATCCCCTCTGGGGGGTGATTTCTCGCTTTCTGTCTCTACGTCTCTCTCTGTCTGTCTGGTGAGTGCATGCGCCCTATAGCGAAAACCTCTCAAAAAAAAAAAATTGACTTTTGAGAAATATGTTCACTAATTCTCAAACAATTCGAGAAGCTCTTACACTCCTTGCTGCTACTACCACGGCATGTTTTGCTTCAATAGCCCTTTTTTCTTAAAGTTTTCTTATTTCTTTCATGAGAGGGAGGAAGTGAGAGAAAGACAAGTATTCTTTTAAAAATTATTATTATTTATTTTAATATTTCCAGAGAAAGAGAGAGAGAGAAAGTGAGAAAGCAAGCCTCCGGGTCCAGGACTCGAATCTTGGTCAGCCATGTGGGAGTCCAGTGCCCTTAACTACCATGTACCTGCTGGCCCTGATAAGTAATGATTTTAAAAATATTATTATTTATTTAATTTTATTAATTACTATTAATTCGCTATAGGCATATGTGCTTATCAGAGAGAGACAGAGAAAGAGGGAAAATGAGAAAGCAAGCTGCCAGGTCTGGAATTCAAACCACGGTTGGCCACGTGGTTGGCCATGTGGGAGTCCAGCGCCTTAACCACCACAGCACCTGTTGGCCTTAAAACAAGTTTTTTTTTTTTTTTTTAAAGAGATTTTTGCTATAGGGCGCGTGTGCTCGCTGGACAGACAGAGAGAAATAGAGAGACAGAAATCACCTCCTGGGGGAATGGCCATGCCACAATCCCTTCTCCTTCATTCTTTCGGGATTTTGGGTTATACATGCACATGCACCTGGCATGAGTTTTAAGCCACTGAGTTCAGAATTTGAACCATGGTCGACTATATGGGAGTCCAACGATGTAACCATTTCACCACCTACTGATTCTGAAGACAAGTCCTCTTTTTTTTTTTTTTTTTTGAGAGATTTTCACTATAGGGCGCGTGAGCTCGCCAGACAGAGAGAGACATAGAGACAGAAAGCGAGAAATCACCCCCCAGGGGGGATGGTCACGCCGCAATCCCTTCTCCTCCATTCTCCTCTCAGGATCTTGGGCATGCACGCACACGTGCCTGGCGTGAGTTTTAAGCCACCGGGTCCAGGACACAAACCGCGGTCGACTACGTGGGAGTCCAGTGACATAGCCATTATGCTAACTGCTGGTTCCCGAAGACAAGTACTCTTAACAGGGTCTCATTTGCCCCGAGCCTTACCAGTTGGTCAGTATCATGGGCACGTGAGCCTGGAGTGTCCAAAGGCAAACATCTTTCCCAAGGACCCAGTATCACTTGAATAGCAGGTTACCATTATGTCACTAAACCAGACCTCTATAAGCCCTTTCACATAGATATCTTAAAATAAAGCAAACTCCGTATCTGTTTCTTCTTCCAGTTAAATATTGGAGGGATGCAGAAGAGAAAGAGGAATTTTTAAAGGCAGAGATACATGGAAAAGGGAAGTCAAGTCCTAAAAGTCCTAAGTCCAATCTGGAAGTTGAGCACCTTGATCATGTGCAGGGTTTCTATTCTATTAATGGGAAAAAGAAGGAAGAGTAAGCCGAGGAACAGAAAGAGCTCAGAGTACACAACTGATTCTTTAGGAACCTGGAAACATGGGGCTCTGCATGTGTACTGGAGGGAGTCCAGAGGCACACCAGTGAATGCTAGCCAAAGCAAAAGGCAGCAAGAGGATCTGATTTCCTCTTTTTTTTTTTTTTTGCTATAGGGCGCTTGCGCTTGCCAGCCAGCCAGCCAGAGAGAGACAGAGAGACAGAAAGCGAGAAATCACCCCCCAGGGGGGATGGCCACGTCGCAATCCCTTCTCCTCCATTCTCCTCTCGGGATCTTGGGCACACACGCACACGCGCCCAGGGTGAGTTTAAGCCACTGGGTCTGGGACTCGAACCGCGGTCGACTACATGGGAGTCCAGCGACATAGCCATTACGCTAACTGCTGGTCCCTGATTTCCTCCCTTTTTAATGATTGGAAGACCACTACAGGTGTGTCTGTTTCCAAATGTGTCACACAGAGAGGCCTGTGCTTTGGGAAAATCCCCACTTCACCTTAGAGTTGCTACAGGGAAAATGGGACTACAGTAGGAGTCGTGAGACTTGTGCTTATAACCTTTGGTTTACAGCACAGCTGCATTTGGGGGGACAAATTCCTAAAGAAACTGAAGGTACTGGTATCAGGAAAACTGGGAGGTTGATAAGTGGGCTTTCACAGGAGAGGAGGCAAGTGGCTCTGTGGGGTCGGGTCTCAAGACTAAGGGAATCTGTGCTTGACAGATAGCTTTACTGTGACCGTTGTTTTGGCCAATTATAGTATAATAGTAACTGCCCCAAGAGAGCAACATTATCTTGGCTAGGTAGTGGAAGTGTCAGTTTCCTGATATGATAAAGGAGACCAGGTAACAGAACCAGGATTCGTCTTCTTCTGGTCTATTAAATGTCGGATGAGATTGGACATCAGGAGCCACGACGCAGCGAGGCCTGGGAAAGTGCAGACCCACCGTAAAGAGTTTTGCGAGGGCCAGCAGGTGGCGTGGTGGTTAAGGGTGCTGGATTCCCACATGGTCGACCATGGTTTGAGTCCTAGACCTGGCGGCTTGCTTTCTCAATTTTCCTCTCTCTCTCTGATCAAATTAATAATAATAATAATAATAATAATAATAATAATAATAATAATAATAATAATAATAATAATAATAATAATAATAATAATAATAATAATAATAATAATAATAATAATAATAATAATAATAATAATAATAAAGAGTTTTGCAAAACAACAGATGGCTTAGTAGTTATGTCGTTGGACTCCCATATGGGTGACCACCGTTCGAACCTGGTGGCTTCAAAATCAGGCCTGGTGCGTGACATGCATGCCCAGGATCCCCGGAGGAGAATGGAGAAGGGATTGTGGCGTGGTCATCCCCCCAAGAGGGTGATTTCTCGCTTCTTGTCTGTCTCTCCCTTTCTGTTTCCCCAACGACTACACGCGCCCTATAATAAAAATCTCTCTCTCAAAAGGAAAAAAAAAAAGAGGGGAGGGCGAGTTTTGCTTTTTCCAGACTTTGATTCCTTTATCAAGGCTTCTAAAGGGCAGACAGGCGCTTTGCAGCCCACTCCTCGCACCCCTTCCGCAGGCCGGGGTCGCCCTCTGCCGGCGTAGGCGGGAGCTGGCGGAGCGCCGGTTTTCGGGCATGTGGCCTGTGAGGCAACCTCTCGCCTATAGAGGGCGCGGAAGGGCGTGCAGACTAACCCATTCTTGTTGGCCCTTCCTTAAGCACTTCCTGTTTGATCTCTATGATCTATCCGGTTGCGACCTCAGAAGTTTCTGAAGTTATCAATTTTGCGTAAACAAAGGGGGTCGTACGCTGACCCGGAAGTGGACGCTGGAACTTGTCCGGAGTATCTCCGAGCGCTGGTGGTGAGAAAGGAGGCTGGGGGAAAGCTGGGTTCATGGCTGTGGCTATGCTCTTGGCGGGGGCCCTAACCGGGTCGGAGCCAGGCCCCGCGGAAGAACTCGCCAAACTCGAGTATTTGTCTTTGGTGTCGAAGGTTTGCACCGAGCTGGACAATCACTTGGGGATCAATGACAAGGATCTAGGTGAGTCCAGGCAGATCCCTGCGGCCTCTAGGCTTGGGACTGAGGGGATCCGAAGGAAAAGGGTGGTTGATGGGCCTAGTGTGTGTCCCCGTGTGGGGTCTGTCTCTCTGTCAGAGACCGTGCGGCCATGGCCTCTGCTTGCGAGCCCTGCATGCCAAGCTGTTGTTAGAAACCTTCCCAGAGCTGTCAGTGGAGACCCGGGCAGTAGTCTGTGGTTGCATTTTGTTTTTTTTTCAGTCCCAAATAATTAGACAGCTTTAACAACAGTCGCCGCCGCCGCAGCGATGAGGAAGAGTACTGATATGTGTTGAGTGCTCATACGTGCCAGATAGACTCAGCTCTTTATTACATTATCTTATTTGGTCGTCAGGACAGGTGTTTGTGCTTTTAACTGTGTTCCTGACAATTCAGTCTATACTGTCTACACCTGGGGAACCCAAACTGAGGAATTAGAAAAGGCTAGGGTCTTAGAACCAAGACCATAGGTAGGTGGAGCGTAGGAGAGGATGGATGGGACCTAGGGCATGAGTTGGGGGGAGGGAAAGATTGACCTGTGGTAGGTACAGGGATGCTTGCCCCGTTGTATCTTGGGAGGACAGAGAATATAGTTTGTAGATGGGGGGTAGGTTTAGAAATGATGACGGGAAGAGCAGTGAGAGCATTTCATCTCTTCTGTTTTCTGAATGAAGATGAAATGAAGTCACCAATTAGAGGGGTGGAAAGGAAGGGATGTGACAGGAGGGAAGATGTGTGACCTTGGGTAAGATAGTTTCTCTGAAGCTGTTTTACTCATCTGCGAAGGACGGTGATACCTTCTTTGCAGGACTACCCTGCAGCACCTAGGAAGCATGCTCTGCAACCAGTACATTTTAGTTCACTTTTCTCGTGCCTCCCAGTCAAGCTGTGCCTGTTCTTTTTTTTTTTTCTTGATCTCTCTCTCTCTTTTAGATGATAATGAAATGGTGATCTTGTCAGTTTGCTATCTAGGTAGTATGTTTCCTTCATTCAGCAGAAAGTGAGCTAGGAGACTGGGACTACAGCAGAGAATAAGAGATTCCTGCTTTCAGGGACCTTCCATTTCTCTGTATTTTTGTTTTAAATACTAATATCTTGGGTGCTTTTTCTTGGGTGCTTTTTTTTTTTTTAAGAGTTTTTTTTTTTTTTTTTCTATAGGGTGCGTGCACTCACCAGAGAGACAGAAAGTGAGGAATTACTCCCCAGGGGGATGGCCACACCACAGTTCCTTCTCCATTCTCCTTTTGGGATGTTGAGCACGCACACACACGTGCCCAGCCTGAGTTTCAAGCCACTGGGTCCAGGACTTGAACCGCAGTAATGTAACCATTATGCCATCTGCTGGTCCCTCTTAGTGTCTTCTTTTTTTTTTTTTCCCAATTATTTATCTTATTTATTATTATTATTTTTAGTTCACCAGAGAGAGACAAAGAGAAAGAGAGGGAGAAAGTGAGAACGCATGATGGCAGGTCCAGGACTTGACCCCACCAGCCATGTGGGAATCCAGTGCTTCAACCACCGTAATACCTGCTGGCCCCCCTCTTGGCCTCTTTTTTTTTTTTTCTTAACAAGTATCACCCCTTTCTTTTTTTAGAATTATTTAATTTATTACTTTTTTTCAATTTGACCAGAGAGAGTCAAGGAGAGTGAGAACGCAAACCACCAGGTCCAGAACTCAAACCATGGTCGACCATGTGAGAGTCCAGCACCTTAACCACCAAGCCACCTGCTGGCCCCTTGGCCTTTATTTTTTTGGAGAGGTTTTTGCTATAGGGCGCATGCGCTCACCAGAAAGAGAGGGACAGAGAGACAGAAAGCGAGAAATCACCGCCTCGGAAGGGGGATGGCCACACCGCAGTCCCTTCTCTTCCATTCTCCTCTCGGAATCCTGGGCACACACGCACATGCACCTGGCGTGAGTTTAAGCCACTGGGTCCGGGACTTGAACCATGGTTGACTGCATGGGAGTCCAGCGACATGGCCATTACACCAACTGCTGGTCCCCCTTAGCCTTTCTTAATGAAAACAAAAAAGTTATTGAGACCTTCTAGTATTTGTTTTCATGTTAACTTCATTCGGTACAAAAGTAAAAGGAGGTATAAACTCCATATTCTTTTGGTTCATATATAACTAAAGATCCCAATTAATTTGCAGATAAACCGCAAGTATGCTTTTTTAGTTAAATATAGAATTATAAAACCAATAATGTTAAAAATAGTAATATTGATTTAATATGATAGTATTGTTTAGTTGAGACAAAACTGTCAAGTTGAGTTTAATAACCACAAAGTATGTATTTGCTTCTTTTATATTTTGTTGATTTTATTCTTTTGATCTTGACCTTGATGGATTATTATTTAAGTCAGTGTCATTATTTTCTGTTTTCAACAATAAACTTGTTTATAACTACTAGTCCACTTTTTAAAAAAAATGATTTATTTAATTCTATTTGTTGTTATTATTATTATTATTTTTTTAATTTGGCCAGAGAGACAGAGAAAGGGAAAGCAAGAAAGCAAACTGCCAGGTCTGAGACTTGAACCATGGTCAGCCATGTGAGAGTCTAGAGCGTTAACCACCACATCACCTGCTGGCCCCACTAGTCAATTTTTTTTCATGGTTTTTGCCATAGGGCACCTGTGCTCAGTGAAGAGAGACAGAGAGAATGTGAGAAGTCACCTCCCAAGGGAGCATGACCATGCCACAATCCCTTCTCCTCCATTCTCTTGGGATTTGGGGCACACACGAATACACACCCAGTGTGATTCGGAAGCCACTTGGTCCAGGACTTGAACCTTGAACCATAGTCTGCCATATAGGAATCTAGCACCTTAACCACCACATCACCTGCTGTCCCCCCTCTCTTTCCTTTTAAAGTTTATTTATTTCTTACATGAAAGAAAGAAGCAGAAAGAGGGAAAGAAACAGAACAAGTATCCTAGTAGGGTCTTCACACTCCGTTCTTACCTCCATCCTCAGACAGGATCAGAGGTAGGCACATACCCTGGGTGCTTCCAGGGAGACCTCAGACATGACGTGGGCCTTCCTATGTGGCCTCAACATCTCGGAGTGTTGTGTTACTGTTGTGCTACTGTGGCTGAAAGTCTTTTAATTAATAAGTAGATGCTAATAGATGTTTTAAGAAGTAGGTTTGTGGAGAAAAATATGAGGACAAGTAAGTCTTTCATCTCTTTGGAGATTGTATCACCCAGATCCTGCCTGTCCTTGTCATGTAAATTGGGTCTGTTCTTTCTGAAAGCATAGAGAGCATTCTACTCTGCATGTGTCGTGTATGAGAATATGCACGTAGGCTTGTAGAATCTGTGTGGCAGTGTGCCCAGTTTTGTGAGAAGAGGGCAGAATGGTCTGGGGCAAATAGGTCTTTAAATTAGATGTATTCAAAGGCCCACCTGAACCACTTTGTAGTAATTCTCTAGACACATATGGGTAATTTCAGTCTAAATTTTCTTTCTTTACGTCACACTGGATGGTGGTCTTTGGTTTTTATGATTGTAGGGTAGACTAATTTTGTTTTCAACATACTGAAAACTAATATCTTGCCCAAATGTCCTTTTATTAAAATTTAAATCTCTTTTCATTTGCAGCTGAATTTGTGATCAGTCTTGCTGAGAAAAATACCACCTTTGATACTTTTAAAGCTTCTCTTGTCAAAAATGGTGCAGAATTCACAGTATGTATATCTGGAGACCCTAGTTTCTTTTCATGTTACTATTTATTTATTTGGGAGATTTTTGCTCTTAGGGTGTATGCGATCACTGGAGAGACAGAGGCAGAAAGGGAGAAATCACCCCCTAGGGGATGGCCATGCTGAAGTTCTTTCTTCTCCATTCTTTTCTTGGGATTGTGGGCACATGTGCACATGTGCCCAGTGTGAGTTTTAAGCCCTGGGGTCCAGGACTCAAACCAAGGTTGACTACGTGGGAGTCCAGCAACATAACCATTATGCCATTTGCTGGTCCCACTATTTTTATTACTTTTAATTTTGCCAGAATGTGCATGTGCTTGCCAGAGAGAGAGAGAGAGAGAGAGAGAGAGAGAGAGAGAGAGAGAGAAAGCACCCTCATGGGGGGGTAGTCACACCACAGTCCCTTCTCCATTATCCTGTCCTTTGGCATTAGGGGCATGTATGCACATGTGCCTGGAGGTTTATCAAGCCACCGGGTCCTAGACTTGTACCACACAGTCAGCCATATGAAATCTAGCCACTTTCACGACAACACTGGCTAGCCCTCATGTTACTATTGAATTTAAATTTTGGTAGAATTTGATATAGGAAGAAGATAGTTTATGCATACCAATTAAATAAGCCATTAAGTTTGTAATGTTTACATGCTACAAAATCAGTGATAATGTAACTGTATTTCCTTTAACATCTTTCTAGAAAAACAGGCAAGATTTTCATTAGCCCTTTGTGGGTATTTACGTTCTCATTATATGAATAAAGTCAGAAACAAGAGTCTAGGTTTTGGGATAAATCGAAACCATGGGAAATAAAATGTTTGCAGGGAGCTAAGTAACTTTTCCCCATGAAGAGTTCTAAATATCACTGTAAAGCTACAGTGTTAGGCTTGTGCTATACCAGGTTGATAGTCTATACTTCATGTGTTCCATTTAGCTAAATTCAGGTCTAAAACCATCCTTCCCTAAAGGACATTCTTTCCCCTTTTCCTTTTCTAAGTGTATTTAAACAGTGATCCAGGGGTTGACAACTTTCGTTCTTTCTTTTTGAAGGATTCTCTTATTAGTAACTTGCTGCGTCTCATACAAACCATGCGGCCTCCAGCAAAGTCTTCTACCAGCAAAGGTAAGCAGAGAGCTGCCAGCTAACTTGGCCTCCAGAATGGTTTAGATTATGAGCAACCTGTAAATTGTGCTTATTTTCCTCTCAGCAGCTGCTAAGCAAGTAAATGTTCTAGTAAAATTTTTCAATTGACTTAAGGTGTAATTAAAATGAGAAGATATAATCAAGTAAGTGTGGTGTACCCACTTCCTGCTACATGCCCAGATAGTTTGTTCAGGGCTTTGTAGTCAATGAGTTTAGGAAATTAAATTATAGTAGTGTATGTGTTAATATGCTATAAAATGCCATGTTCTGTTTTAGTTTGATGCAAATCTAATATTGAAATTATTTCGTTAACTAATATGATTTTTATTGTTTTATTTGAACCCTTTCATGCTGTTTAATAAACAAGATCCAGTTGTTAAACCCAAAACTGAAAAAGAAAAGCTGAAGGAACTCTTCCCAGTCCTTTGCCAACCAGATAACCCTTCAGTTCGGGTAATGATATGATTTTGAGAATGTCTAGTCTAAGTGTGTATTTCTCCCACCCTTTTTCTTTGTCTCGTATTTTCAAATTTAAAGTCATCACTCTCTGAGCACCTCCTATATACAGAAGGGGTCAAGGGAAATGAGACTGGGAACTGTGGGAAGCAGCAACTAGAGATATGAAATAGTTGTAATTATTTATTTCCATTTATTATTATTTTTTTAATTTGACTAGAGAGAGATAGAGAGAGAGAGAAAGGGAGAAAGCAAGCCGCCAGGTCCAGGACTTGAACTGTGGTTGGTCATGTGGAAATCCAGCACCCTTAACTACCTATGCCATCTACCAGACCCGAAATTGTTATAAAATAGCTTACTGTTCTGGAACAGATGCCTGACATGTGAAATTAGAAATTTTCTTTTGCTCCATTACACATTAGAAATTCTAATTTTTGAAATATTTTGATTTTTTTTTTTTTGAGAGAGATTTTTGCTATAGGTAACGTGTGCTCACCAGAGAGACACAGAGACAGAAAGCAAGAAATCCCTTCTCCTCCATTCTCCTCTCAGGATTTTGGGCACACATGTATTGCACCCAGTCTGAGGTTCAAGCCGCCGGGTCTAGCACTTGAACTTTAGTTGACTACATGGGAGTCCAGTGATATAACCATTACGCCATCTGCTGGTCCCTTGATTTTATAAATTCCATTTCAGCAAATATTTATTGAGTACTTACTGTATGCCAAGCACTGTTGTTAAGTACCAGGCATACAGCAGAGAACAAAACAAACTAGAGTCTCTGCCTTCTTAGAGATTACATCTTAGCATTGAGGTGGAGAGATCAGGAAATAAACACATAATCAGTTTAGTGGATTGATTGTGATCTATTAAACTAAAACTGTTTTTGAAATTAAAATGCATTTAAAAATACCTATTAATACCTATTTAGTGACTGCAGTAAGCTATATAGCCCCAGTGAGGTGCTACTTTATAGTATGTTCACTTTACACCTAGTCAGATGTGCGTTCATAAATATGTATATATCAGCTGTGCTTGCTATTGAAAGTCTTTAAGTTAATTAAGATCTTTAATGAATCAATAAAATGTGCAGAAAAACAGTTTCGTGGAGAGTAGGCAAGCAGTAAACTGACAAGTAAATAAATATGTAACACAGTGGATAAGGATATGGATTATGGAAAAAGTAAAAGTAGAGGGGACTGGGGAAGGGAGTACAGAGTTGCATTTTAAAAATTTTAACTTCTTGGAACCAGCAGATGGCATAATGGTTATGTTGTTGGACTCCCACATAGTTGACCGCTGTTTTGAGTCCCGGACCCTGTGGCTTAAACCTCACACTGGGTCTGTGTGTGCATGTGTGCCAGGATCCCAAAAGGAGGATGGAGGAAAAGGGATTGCAGTGTGGCCATTCTCCCTAGGGGGTGTCTCTGTTTCTCTCTATCTCTCCAGCAAGCGCAGGCACCTTATAACAAAAATCTCTCTTTTAAAAAAAAAAATTCTGACTTCTATTTTCTAGTTAAAAATCACTTGTATGGTCTCATGGAGGAATGATTCATATCTAATTGCCTGCTGTAGGATTGTGTTAAAGGGAATTTGCTATGTATAAAAATGACTCAAGAACATAGGTCTATTCTTTCTGCCTCTATCTCATATCATCTTGGGAATACCTTTCTTCTGCTTCCTTCACAATAGTGGCTAGTGGTACAGGGACTGTCATATTTATAGACACACTTGAAGTGCATACAGACTCTTTTGAGTGTTTTTCTCTCCTTTAACAAACTTTGCTGACCTTTGTCCCCTTAGACCATGCTGGATGAAGATGATGTGAAAGTAGCTGTGGATGTCCTGAAAGAACTGGAAGCTTTAATGCCCAGTGCAGCAGGCCAGGAGAAGCAAAGAGATGCTGAACACCGGTTTGTCCTTAGTGTCCTATGCTTTGGAAGTTTAGAATACTATGATGGTCGAATTCTGTGGACCAGCCAAGCTAAATGTTGTGCAAGTTTAAACAATCAAGATTGGCTATGTACCATAGTTTGGGATGTGTTTTCACTGCTCCCTGTCAAGAACATTTGTGCAGCAAATGCTAAGAGGTTCAAAAGATAGAAATGGGGATTGAAAGAGGCTGATCCTTTCTTGGCCTGCAGGGATGTCATCATTAACGCAATTCTGTAATTTAGCTCAACACTTGGTGGGGCCCTACCATGTGCATGGCAGCTTGTTGGGTGCTTTGGGATTCAAAGATGAAATTGGGCTGGTTTCTTTTTCAAACAGGTGCTTATTGATTTGTTAGGGACAGGACAAAGAAGAAGAAGCGGAGTCGGAGCCGAGATCGAGACCGAGAACGAGATCGAGACCGAGACAAAGATCTCTCTTTTGACAGAGAACGAGACCGAGAACGAGACCGAGATAGAGACCACAAGCGGAGACACCGATCCCGGTCTCGATCACGTTCCAGGACCCGGGAGAGGAATAAAGGGAAGTCTAGATATCGGTCCAGAAGTAGGAGTCAGAGTCCTCTCAAAGACAGGAAGGACCGGGACAAGTATGGGGAGAGGAATCTGGACCGATGGCGGGATAAGCATGTGGACCGCCCTCCCCCAGAAGAGCCTGCCATTGGGGACATTTACAATGGCAAAGTTACCAGCATCATGCAGTTTGGATGCTTTGTGCAGCTGGAGGGACTAAGGTAATTGCTGGTGTTCTTTCATGCCTATGATGGACAGAATTTCTTTTGTCACGGGGAGTTTTTACATTCTAAAGAGTTATTATGATTAATGAAACTTAAATCAGCCATAGAAATTGACTTTGTGTTTGAAATGTTACAAAGCCATTTATTCCTTCTTCTGTCTTCAGGAGCACTTCCCTTTACTGTTTGGACAAACAATTTGTATTTCCCCCCTCCCCCCATCAACAAATGTCTTTTGTTTGGGAGGGTAGTAATATTTTATTGTTTGGTCGCCTCGTTGCTAGTTCCTCTTGAGTTTAAGATTCTTTTCTTATTTTTAAGAGGGCTTTTTTGCTAAAGAGCGTGTGTGCTTGCTGGAGAGAGACAGAAAGTGAGAAATTGCCCCTGGTGAGGGGGTGGCCACGCAGCAATTCCTTTTCCTCCATTCTCTTCTTGGGATTTTGGGCACACATGCACATGTGCCTGGCATGGGTTTTTTTTTTTTCTTTCTTTCTTTCTTTTCTTTTTTTTTTTTTTGGAGAGGTTTTTGTTATAGGGTGTGTGTGTTTGCCAGAAAGACAGAGAGAGAAAGAGAGACAAAAAGCGAGAAATCACCCCCCAGGGGGAATGGCCACATCACAATCCCTTCTCCTCCATTCTCCTCTTGGGATCTTGGGCATGCATGCACACACGCCCGGCATGAGTTTTAAGCCGCCAGATCTGGGACTCGAACCGCAGTCGACTAAATGGGAGTCCAGCGATATAGCCATTGCGCTAACTGCTGGTCCTTGCCTGGCATGAGTTTTAAGCCGCTGGGTCCGTGACTCAAACTGTGGTCAATTACATGGGAGTCCAGCAACATAACCATTATTCCATCTGCTGGTCCCAAGATTATTTTCTTTTGTTCAGTCCCAACAAGGGTGGAAATTGGTTGGGGAAAAGGTATTTTTAGGCATGCTCCAGATGTGTCTGACTCTCCCTCAGGAAGCGGTGGGAAGGCCTGGTGCACATCTCTGAGCTCCGGCGGGAAGGCCGCGTGGCTAATGTGGCAGATGTTGTGAGCAAAGGCCAGAGGGTCAAAGTCAAGGTGCTGTCCTTCACTGGGACCAAGACCAGTCTGAGCATGAAGGTAGGTGAGATTGTCCAGCCTCTTTCCACATCTGATGGCCAAGGAAATGCCAAGAGGACAGCAGGTGAGCTAGCTCCCTTGTTTTTGTGTTTTAGGATGTGGATCAAGAGACTGGAGAAGATCTGAACCCAAATCGACGTCGAAACCTTGTTGGGGAGACCAATGAGGAAACCTCAATGCGGAACCCAGACAGACCCACTCACCTTTCCCTTGTCAGTGCCCCTGAAGTAGAGGATGACTCACTGGAGCGCAAGCGCCTCACCCGCATTTCTGACCCAGAGAAGTGGGAGATCAAACAGGTTGGGCTTTAGCATCTGTATTGTCACCCAGCATGTAGCATGGTGGTTAAGAGTGTAGGACCTGGAGCACAGCAGCCTAGGGTTAGGCTGCTTGCTAGCTGTGTGTTGCTGAGCCAGGTTACTCTACCTTTTTCTGCCTTCAGTGCCCTCATTTCTGAAACGGGGCCAGTGGTGGCGGAGGGGGGATTAAATGACTTAGTAGAGGTGAAACTCTTAGATTAATGCTAGTTGTTATGTAAGTGTTCATTATTGTTTTCATTTTTCTTCGGGGAACATCAGAACCACAATATCTCAAGCACTTTGTAGATGCTAGGGCTAGGAGGATGAATACAGTAAGCCAACTATAGCCTAGTGGTTAAGGGAACCAGATCCCACATGGCTGACCATGGTTTGAATTCCAGTGCTGGCGGCTCGAAAAACATGCTGGGTACATGTACATGTGACAGGGTGGAGAAATGGAGATGGGATTGTGGCATGACCATTCTTTGTTATGGGGTACTTTTTCCCTCTGGCTCTTTCTGGTACAGCCTCTGGCAATTAAAAAAAAATGAATATATCATGGTTCCTATCCTTGAGTAACTCAAAGCCTATTGGAGGAAACAGATCTAAATGAGTAATCGTAAAGGGGTACATATCACATAGTAAGAAAGGTACAGAGTGCTGTAGAAACAAAGGAGGGAGTAGGTAGCTCTTCTTCGGGATGACACTTTGAGTCCATGCTTTTTGGCACTGTATTGTAGAGTCCTCTTGGCGGTGGGATATATGACATTTTGAAGCACTGGTGTCTTGGGTCCGAGGAAGAAATCTTGTTCTCCTAGTGAGACCTTTCTCCTTGGAGAAAAGAGCTTTGATTCTTGTGGATTGCAAATGCTGCCTTCTGTCCTTTACCTAGATGATTGCTGCCAATGTCCTTTCCAAAGAAGAGTTTCCAGACTTTGATGAAGAGACTGGCATTCTCCCTAAGGTGGATGATGAAGAAGGTAATTAGCCATTTGGATTGAGCAGGATAACTGGCAAGTTGAGTTATTAGACTAGACAGTTTGTAGTTGAACTCATTGGTTACTGATCACTTCATGAGAGAAAAAGAGAGAGGCAGAGGG